TTGTGGTCTCGGTCACCAAGTTTTTCAACAGTGAGGCTGTGTTTGAGTCTTGTCAAGTCATTTTAGTGCACAAAACATTAAGTAGTATAGGAGGGTCTGAGCTTTCCAACTACTGAATAGAAATTTATTGAGAACCGCGAAAATTTCAAAGTAAAGAGTAAGTGAAAGTGGGAGCTGAAAAACTCCAACGGATAGAACGGGAACCAATGAGCGTATTTCCCTTGCGAAAGATTACAATCGGACATGCATTCGATTTTGTAGTTGTGATCCTTTCTTCCAGACTCCTTTAAAATGGGATCATTCATCATCGTTGTAGTTAACTATGGAATCTTCAGAGGAAGCTGACCTACCATTTTCACTGTCAATTATTTCGCAAGGGAGAAATTCTAGTATCGAGATAAATTGCCATTTTCTTACTGCTGAATTTGAAAGCGATTTAGAGGTGGTTTTTCATGGATGATAGCTGTCTTGTAACATGACAAAAATAAAGATACTACTTCAACTTCGTCCTTTTGTCTCACCTCTCGGAAAGCTGCAATCATCTCAGCAGGACTTCATCGTAGACTATATTTTTCAAGCAATTCGAAGTAGAGTGTACTTTGATTCCATCAGGTGTTTTCGCGCGAGAGAGTGCAACGTAGAGTTGACCGTGGGAAAAAACGTCTTCTGGTAGAAACACGCCAACTTTGTTGAATGATTGCCCCTGAGCTTTATTTATGGTCATCGCAAAAGCTATGCGCACTGGGAACTGTCGACGACGAAGCTTGAAAGGAGCTTTTTGGTCCCAATAGTTGTCTATTCTCGGAATTATAGCTAACTGGTTCCTTCGTTCACCACAAATAAATCTGCAAGCTAATGTAAAGCGTCCGAGTGTTTCAACCTTGAGACGTGTTCCGTTGCATAGTCCGTTTTCTACGTCCAAGTTTCTTAGCAGCATTACTATTGCCCCTTTTTTCAAATGTAGCTCATGTGGGGGCATGCCTGTTGGAGTGAGGGAATTCAAGTACTCCAACTGAAACAGCTGTCGTGGCTGCCCCTCCGGATAAATGGCTTCATCAACGCTCTTGTAAATACGCTCATCTTCTGGTGCGCTGATGCTGAGACGTTGAAGAGCGTCGTCGTTCAAGCGGTGAACGTGCACATTCTTCGGTGCCAGTATAGCATTGTCGCAAAGATTAGAAGTAGTTGACGGGTCGATAGTATCACCAAAGATTTCAGTAACAATATCCGTCGTACACATCATGTCTTGTGGGATTGCTATGCGTCCATCTTCGTCATTCGCCTCTCCATTGCCAATTTGTATAAGGCGTTCTCTCCAATCGCTGCCTGCTTCCTGCGCTCTCATGTTCACTTCAAGCGTGTGGACGGAGAATAACGGCCATAGAGAAGATTTCAGAACACAGGACTCGACAATGTCCTCTCTCTGGACCGTGTTCAACAACAGGTAGGATCTGCCGGAAGTCTCCGCCAATCACCATGACTTTACCTCCAAAGGGTGCGTCTACCTGCATCACATCTCTCAAAAGAGCATCAACCGCTTCGAGAGCTGCCTTCGGAGCCATAGAGATTTCATCCCATATTATCATATCCGTCTCCATAAGCTGTTCAGCTTCTCGTTGTTGTCTTCTCATTGAAGAAGTTCGGTTTCCGTCACCGATATTTAATTTGAAAACTGAGTTCACAGTTCTTCCGCCTGGGAGCAGGTTAGCTGCTATGCCGGTCCAAGCCACACATAGCGCTTTCCGCCTCATCCCAACAGCAATGTTATAAATGGTGCTGTATAAATACGTCTTGCCACTGCCGCCAGGACCATCAATGAAGATGTATCTGTTCTGAGATCTTTCCAGCGCACCAAGAATATCATCAGCAGCTTCCTTCTGTTTAGTGTTGAGTGTTTCGTACTGACTCAACCCGATTCTCTCATAAGTTCTATAATCGACCGACATTGTGGGCGCCGTTGGACGTTCCGCGGTGGGCGGGGTTACGATCTGCCTCAAATCCCTGCCCATCATAGCAACACGATCAAGTACGTCAAAATACGCAAAAGCGACAGCATGCTGTGGATCAAATCCCTGTCGGATGTAATCATCCGACATCATATCAGCAAACTCATCCCACAAATCTTGCGCCTGTAGTACCTTCACAAAAGCACAGGAGACAGGCAAAAAACTCCTCATCGTTGCTGCAGACTGGTAATGAGCTGCTTCCTTGCAAACTCTGCCGGAAGTACCTATCATCGTCCAAGAACCCAGCAGCTTTCGCTGCATCAGCGAAAGACTCGTAGGTTCTGCCGTCGATTGTTCGCATGTCAACGAAGGATGTTTTCCCTTTACAGTTGAGCAGGAGTATTCGCAGGCAATATCGCTCTGTCTCTAAAGGTGAGACTGTGAACATCCTACCGATTTGTTTTCCTCCACGCCTCCTCGGCATCCATCCACGTCGAGCGTCAAAGGTGAAATGTTCTGGTAGCTGATAGTAATAGAGATTCCGAGCATCGACGGCGAAATCGGTAGACGAACCGCTTTCGAAAATCTGCTCACACCGCCTGTTCAGCTCAAAAAATGCTGTCAGGGTTGTAAAAGATCGCTGTGCCTGCTCAAGATATTGTTGCTCTCGACCGTGAACAAAGTGAACTGTTTGAAATCCGGGCAGGTGTACAGCTAACCTGTACACAGTGTGCGACCTGTCCTGCATGTTGTAACCGAAAATTCGATAGATGCTCTGTGGAGCGCATACGTAGCGGGTATTGAGATGTTGTTTGATTTCATCGACGTTCTCATTTGCGTCCACGTTTCCTTCACTTTCAATGCTGATACGCGCACGATCGGGACCCTTATATATATATACTTATAAAGGTACTTGACAGCAGAAATCGTGCCGCAAATTTCAACGTTAACATGGCAATCATACTTTAGAAGAAGGTAAGGGTTCGTTGGAACCACCCACTCATCACTGTAAGGAATCCCATTGATTTCAGTAGGTGCAAGGTTACGCCGTCGATAAGTTAGGGTAACCGTCAACATCCACAGAGGTCCTATCACGAAGTTGCTTGGGAAATTTTTTGGAACATGAGCCGCCACGCATGCACGGTGAACGTGGATCCATAGGTCCACATTGCCGATGGATCATATGCGATGTTATCGCAGAATAAAGCTCAGGTTCGGTTTCTCTGCTTGGGGATCTCCGCGCAGATGGCTTTATCAACGTCTTCGGCCGTGTACACCTTCCAACCTTCTTTCATAATAAGAAGCATATGGCAGTGCGGTAATCCACGCTTTTGGAATTCGATGACGTGTACATATGCTTCCACCTCTCCCAGGACATGTTTCTTAAAAAGATCGTCACATAGCTCTTGCAGTTTTGCGTGAAACACACGCGCCACCAAATCAGGACGATCTGATGGCGTCTGGCCTTGGAAGAGGTTTTCCCGTATCTCCTTCCACTGCGGGTTACATGTCATCGTTAGAAAATAGGTGGGCTTTCCGTAGCGTGCCACAATCGCCATAGCGTCCTGATAGGCCTGCTGCATTGCACGCGGACTACCCAGATGCGATGATGACAATACGACTCGGTTCCCAGGCGGTCCGGATATATCATCTCTCGCCAAATAATCCTGCAATCCTGTATAGGAGTCACGCCGCAGCGATAGCTGGTTTCTTCGTTGAAAATTGAGACGGTTTTGTTCAATTTTCACGTATGCATCAACCGCAAATTGCTGACACAGCTTCCCTGCATGCAGAATCGGGTTGAAGGCGTCACGAACTGAGAACAAATATGCGTAGTAGTCCTTTTGGGTGATCCGAGTGCCAGCTGTATTCCTCAGACTGGGCTCCCAACCACCTTCGCCAGTCGGAAATAGGAGCGGGTACGTCAGAGGGTCACAGATCTTATCAATGTCACGGATATTGATGAGCTGCTCGCCCGACTCGCTCCGCAGATGGACTGCAAGACTCCTGTGGGCAGGGACATCGTTGTCTTCACCAACGTAGACCACTGCAACTTCATTTGCCGTTGGAAGATCGTATTGCCTCCGCGCTAATCCTCTTTCGGAGCTCTCTTCGAAAACCATGCGGATGCTAAGTGGAGCACGGTTCTCGCGGGCTGCCATTGCAAGTTCCGCTTGCTCCACCTCGTGCATCATTTTGAAAGATCGGGCATAACATTGACGCTGGATAGTAGACCACTGAGGAAACGCATAAGGTCAGGGTCACACTCGGCATTCATTGCGACTCCCAAACGCTGCTGGCAGCTAGTTCCGTGTCCAAGATGTATATTTGGCCGTATTGACGTGGCTCTCCTTCTCTCGGATGAAGAGGTCCTAGCCTGTGGTAAATCTGGCCATGAATCCTATAACAATAAGGCCCACGGCCCTGAGGGGTTTCGACTTGCGCGCCCATCGAGGCCATAGCCAGAGCAGAGTTAAAGCTTCTTATGTTCTCGAGAAAGTTTCTCTGACGACGCTGTAACTCTTCTGTCTGTCCGGGTTCACGGACGAAAAGCCGACGCAGCTCTTCGGGGAAGTTCGCAAAAAAATTCATGGTGCACCGTCCTAGATCGCAGCACTCTTGAAATTTGCCCGGATGATTGACCTTCACCTCGGAAAGAAAATGCAATGCGCCGCAATCTGCACACCGTTGATTGAGCTCCCCTAGGTAATGTGCTTCAGCTAGGCGCATTTGCAGAGCGCTTCCAATAGATTCAGTATGTGTGCTTCGCCGTCGACGTGTAGCTGAAGCAATTGACTGTAATCTAGCAGACCGGTCATGTTCATTTTCAAGACTCCGACGCCTCCTGTGTCTCTCAGCATCCTCTTGAAGCCGAGCAGCTCGAACTTCGGTACTTTCCAATTCACGCCTTCTCAATAGCCGCGTGGCTTCCACTTGTGATCTGATTACTCGTTCTTCCGCACTTCCAGATGCGCGTCTTCTGTGCTGGATTCGAGCGTTCAGTTGCAGCCTCATTCCACGTTCATCAGCCGTTTCTAGTTGTCGCCTTCTTCTCTGCCGCTCACTGTTGTTCTCCAGCCTAACTACTCGCTCCTCAGTCCCTTCCAACTCGCGTCTCCTTCGCTGTCGTTCGGCATTTCTTCCCATCCTGACAACTCGTTGAGCAGCGTCTTCCGAGTCTCGTCTCTGCTGTTGCCTTTCAGCGTTTTCCTGCAACCGGAGAGCGCGCTCTTCATGGTTCTCATGCTGGCGCCTCTGCCGCAGTCTTTGAGCGTTCTCATGTAATCGGGAAGACCGCTCTTCGGGGTTTTCATGCTGCCGCCTCTGTCGTAGTCTCTGAGCATTTCCCTGAAGTCTAAGTATGCGCTCTTCAGAACTTTCGTGCTGGCGCCTCTGCTGTTGTCTCTGTGCGTTCTCGTGTAACCGGAAAGACCGCTCTGCATGGCTTTCAATATGACGCCTCTGCTGCTGCCTTAGAGCGTCTTGTTGCTGTCGTGAAGTTCGTTCCGCAGTGCTTTCATGCTGGCGCCTCTGCTGCAGTCTCTGAGCATTTTCCTGGAGTCGAGCAGTTCGTTCGTCGGAACTTTCATGCTGACGCCTCTGCTGTTGCCTATGGGCGTTCGCCTGCAACCGGAGAAGACCGCTCTTCCCAATCCTCATTTTCTCGCCGTTGTTGCTGGCGCGCAGACTCCGTTTCAAGCCGGATGGCCCTTTCTTGCGGCGTTTCACGCTGTCTTCTGATTTGGAGGCGCTCGCTTTCGCTGGAATAGATCCTGGGTCTTCCCCTTCGTGTACGCGTGCGCTGCTCCATTGCTCTTTGTAATGGTGTGATGCTGAAAGTAAAGTAACCACTTGATCATGGCAACGTTTAAGAAGCTAAGGCTCTATGAGGGCTATAGAGGCGGCAGGTGAGGTATCTGAGCAGATTCCTGCTTGGTGAGGGAAGAGACTGAACGCGTCCGCGATGCCCCCCTTTTGTGTCAGCACAAATGGTAATTGTCTTTTTTGGTAGACTACGCTAAAAAGGGAATTCACTTGTCAATTTTCAGGTTCCGACCCCCGTGGTTCGCTGCTATTGGGGCACCCGGCGATGGCGTTGAAAGGATCATAAGATCCGATTCCTTCTGCGCAGCTGGAGGTTTTCGGGAATCACCGTTTACGGCGTCTCATCGGATCTTTGAAATGTTCAAAAACCCAGGCCACGCAAGAATTGAGCAGTTGCCGAAAACCTCGAGTTCTTAAGGTCCCACTGTATGGACGTGACCCTTTTTTACGCCATTAAAAAGCTTTGAACACTAAAATAATCTCTAAAAGTGAACAGTGCGGAAGAGAGGTGGTTAGAAAGCAAACAGTGCCTGTGAGGTACAGTACCTTTCAGCATTTAACCGCGGATTACACACCCCACATAAATCAAACTTTCTCGGGTAATCACGGCTTATTTCTCGGGTAATCACGGCTTATTGAAGGAAGGCTCATTGAAAAGATGCAAGATGCTTAATCAGATTGCGAGGCATGTTGAGCAATATGGGCTGGTTGACACTTGGTTCCTGCCGCCCCATTAAAGCTTAAAGCAGTTGATAACTACCTGAGAAAAATTTGCTGTTGGAATCCACCGCGCGCAATTAAAGCGATTGGAAAATGTTGGCTGAGATTCAATGATGTCTTATCATACTTCTACATCAGCATTCCCGGTCATATCATCACTTTGCCGATGTCTTTCTGTTTTTTAACCCATCAGATTTGATACATGGTGAGAATAAGTCATTCGTCCAGATCCAAAAGATTTTAGCGGCTGTATAAAAAGAGGACATAATGAGCTTTATGTTCTGAATCCTTTTATTAGCTCTAAATTCATATCTTTTCCTCCATTCTCCTTGTCATTCCCATTGTTCTAATCTGATGCCTCTTATTAGCTCTTGTCAGTAGGTATCACTTCTTGTCACTTACAATAGTGCCCCTTTTCCAAGCCCCACATCACTTTTTGGAACCAAAGTCTTGCAATCGCTCTGGTGCACGAATTTCATTATGGTACTCAACAATGGCAGAATTTCTGTGGTGGCCCCTAAAACTTCGCCTTTTTCCCATGCTTCAAAACACGGCCCATTTCATCATAATTTTCCTCTTTAATGAACATTTGCCAACGTATCATGCTTATCACAACACTCACCATTCGTTGGAAATCAGGCAAATTAGCGGTTGAAAGAGTTTCGAACAATATCGAAATCATGAAGTGTTCTAACATCCTAATTCTTCCGTGAGCAGCTTTCATATATCGGTCTATTGGCGACTCTTATCATTCCTCACTGGCAAACAATTTTATTCTTTTACCGAGAGTTTAGCGGTCGGATCAACTCCGACTAACATCCTAAGGATAGTGCAACATCTCTTACTCACTAACGGTTTAGTCCCACTAATTCTTTGGTCACGGTGGTCAAGTCAGTCGCGCAGGCACCAGCAAAGAGTGGCAGTGCCCCGTTGTATGCTCCGAACTCTTGGCATTTGGAATTTTGAGGGCCTTCCTTGCAAGCGGCGCCTCCTATGGATACTTTATCGGCTGTTATCAGGTCCTGCTACTCACCAATAATGTTCCTATCCTGCCCCATATATTACTTCTTGAAAACAACGTTCTACCTTCGCTGTGACGCGCACTATGGTGTTAGTGACCATTCCTTTCTAATGCTCCTTATGGTATCTTATCAGCTGTTATCACTTCCTGCCACCGACCAATAATGTTCCCATCCTGTCCTCTACCTTACTTCTTGGAACCAACGTTCTACCGCTGCTGTGACGCGCGTTATGATGTTGCTGAACTTCCCTTTCTAAGGCTCCTTAAGGTATCTTATCGGCTGTTATCACTTCCTGCCACCGACCAATAATGTTCCCATCCTGTCCTCTACCTTACTTCTTGGAACCAACGTTCTACCGCTGCTGTGACGCGCGTTGTGAATTTGGTGACCCTCACCTTCTAAAGGCTCCTTAAGGTATCTTATTCGGCTGTATATCAACTCCCTGGCACTCGACCAATAAATGTTCCTCGCTGTCCTCTACCTTACTTCTTGGAATCAACGTTCTACCGCTGCTGTGACGCGCGTTGTGAATTTGGTGACCCTCACCTTCTAAGGCTCCTTAAGGTATCTTCACGTGTATACCGTTCACAAATCCGCCCCGTCGCACCCTCAACCGCTACCGCGCGGCGGCGTTTATCTGACCCACAAGGCCCTAGGTTCTTACACTGATACTCTGCCGACATATGTTCTCACGACCCCCTACATTACTTATCGCTTGTGGAGAGGCTCTTCGCTCTCTGAAGGAAGTTATGGAATTTCCGGTCCAAAACATCGACATACAGACACCCATACCATTCCACACACACACACACACCAACAGACAAACTTAGCGGATTATATATAGTAGGATATATAATCCGCTAAGTTTGTCTGTTGGTGTGTGTGTGTGTGTGTGAATGTATGTTTGTGTGTCTGTATGTGTGTTTGACCGGAAATTCATAACTTCCTTCAAAAGAGCGATAGAGCGCTCAAACTGATAAGTGATGTAGGGGGTCGGGCAGGAACACTAAATGGTAGGTGGCAGGAACTGATAAGAGCTGATAAGATATCACAGGGGTCTTAGAAGGAGAGGGTCACCAAATGCATAGCGCGGGCTACAGCAACGACGAGACGTTGGGTCCAAGTAGTAAGATAGGGGGCAGGATGGGAACATTGGTGATGGGTGGCAGGAATGTGATTAAAGAGCGATAAAGATACTATAAGGCAGTCATAGAATCGAAGGGTCACCAACTTTATAACGTGCTTCACAGCGACGCTAGGACTTTGGCTTCAAGGAGTAAGATAGTGGGCAAGATGGGAGCATTATTGGTGGGTGGCAGGACGTGATAACAGCTGATAAGATAGCCCCAAAAATTCACAGCACAGTTGTAGCCACACTGGAGAATTGCCTCCAGCAAGTAATTCAGGGGTGCATAGGTAACATTAGTAGTGGGAGATAAGTTCGGGTCGTGTCCGACAAGGGCTTTAAGGATTCCGTATATGGTTACATCACCATGGCCAAAGAAACTGTGGGCAAAGGCTTAGTGAGCCAAGATATTTCTATCCCTTAGCGATATAGTCGGAATTGATTCGACCGCTAAACTCTCGATTTTCAACAAAAAGTAAAAGTCCCAAAAGCTGCTTAAGGTATGTACTAGGATATGAGGACATTTCAGTCTGCTGTCTGTTATTAACCCCCGAAACTCATTCAAACCGCTAAGCTTTACTCTATTGTTTCCATACGAATGGTGTTGTCGCAAAAACCGTCGATAAGGCCCAGTCAAGTGGCAAATGCTTCATTAAAAGGGCAGAAAACAAGAAACACGATGAAATGGGCCGTATTCCGAAACAAGGGGATTGGGCCAAGTGTTGTGCTCAGCAGAGAAACCCACTCAGTGATCAGTACCATAGGTTTGACCATGCGCGCAGTATTGCGCGTCAGCCAAACTGGTATTGCAATATGCAATTCGACAATGAATTCTCTATCGTCTCGATGTCTATAGGTCGTTGCCCCTCAGTAGGTGTCACTTCTTGTCACTTACAATAGTGCCCCTTTTCCAAGCCCCACATCACTTTTTGGAACCAAAGTCTTGCAATCGCTCTGGTGCACGAATTTCATTATGGTACTCAACAATGGCAGAATTTCTGTGGTGGCCCCTAAAACTTCGCCTTTTTCCCATGCTTCAAAACACGGCCCATTTCATCATAATTCTCCTCTTTAATGAACATTTGCCAACGTATGGTGCTTATCACAACACTCACCATTCGTTGGAAATGAGGCAACTTAGCGGTTGAAAGAGTTCAATGGTAACAATATCGAAATCATGAAGTGTTCTAACATCCTAATTCTTCCGTGAGCAGCTTTCATATATCGGTCTATTGGCGACTCTTATCATTCCTCACTGGCAAACAATTTTATTCTTTTACCGAGAGTTTAGCGGTCGGATCAACTCCGACTACATCCTAAGGGATAGCAACATCTCTGCTCACTAAGGTTTAGCCCATTAATTCTTGGACCACGGTGGTCAAGTTCAGTCGCAGGCATAGCAAAGATGCAGCTCCCCGTTGTTGCTCCGACTCTTGCATTGAATTTTGAGGCCTTCCTGAAGCGGGCCCCCTATGGTACTTTATCGGCTGTTATCAGGTCCTGCTACTCACCAATAATGTTCCTATCCTGCCCCATATATTACTTCTTGAAAAAACGTTCTACCGTCGCTGTGACGCGCACTATGGTGTTAGTGACCATTCCTTTCTAAGGCTCCTTATGGTATCTTATCAGCTGTTATCACTTCCTGCCACCGACCAATAATGTTCCCATCCTGTCCTCTACCTTACTTCTTGGAACCAACGTTCTACCGCTGCTGTGACGCGCGTTATGATGTTGCTGAACTTCCCTTTCTAAGGCTCCTTATGGTATCTTATCGGCTGTTATCACTTCCTGCCACCGACCAATAATGTTCCCATCCTGTCCTCTACCTTACTTCTTGGAACCAACGTTCTACCGCTGCTGTGACGCGCGTTGTGAATTTGGTGACCCTCACCTTCTAAGGCTCCTTATGGTATCTTATCGGCTGTTATCACTCCCTTGCCTCGACAAATAATGTTCCATCTGCTCTCTACGCTTACTTTCTTGGAACCAACACTCTACCGCTGCTGTGACGCGCGTTGTGAATTTGGTGACCCTCACCTTCTAAGCCTCCTTATGGTATCTTATCAACTGTTATCACTCCCTGCCACCGACCAATAATGTTCGTGCACGACCCCCTACATTACTTATCAGTTTGAGGGCTCTATCGCTCTCTTGAAGGAAGTTATGAATTTCCGGTAAACACACATACAGACAAACATTCACACACACACACACACCAACAGACACACCTAGCGGATTATATATAGTAGGATATATAATCCGCCATAAGTTGTGTCTTTGGTCGTGTGTGTGTGTGTGGACACAAACGAAGGCAAAGCAAAATGGTTATAGAGTAGTGAATAAAAATTGGATATACTATTTAAGAACCAACAGTATACATTATACATCCGCGTGAGATCACTGTGTCTGTGAGAGGAGTTCGAGGCAAGGTGCTAGAGAGATCAGGATACCAAAAAAGGAGATACTAAGGGCTGAAATACGAATATCACAAGGAAGCGACCAGCGAGTACTTATAAGCAAGGGAGATGAGACACAGGTGCAATAGCAGGCGGGAACGACCGAGAGAGGACAGACAGAATTAGGAGATCCGTAGAATATAAAGAAACAAAGATGGACATATTAGGTGAGCTGAGGGTGAGGACGGAGTTAGACTGATAGAATTGGTACATAGGCAGAAGGAGTCCACACTTCTATTCGGCGGGCATTCACAGCGACAGATTAGGAACTATTGGCTCAAGGAGCAAGATAGAATATGGAGACGATAGGAAGATATGAGTGACGGGGTCGTGCAGGAGGTGATAACAGCTGGTGAGATAGCTCCAAAAATTCACAGCACAGTTGTAGCCACACTGGAGAATTGCCTCCAGCAAGTAATTCAGGGATGCATAGGTAACATTAGTTACGTGGGAAGATTAATTCAGGGTACAGTGCTCCGACAAGGGCTGCAAGGATTCCGTATATGGTTACATCACCATGGCCAAAGAAACTGTGGGCAAAGGCTTAGTGAGCCAAGATATTTCTATCCCCATTAGAGCGAGTATCAGTCGCGAATGATTCGACCGCTAAGCTCTCGATTATTCAACTCAAAAAGTAAAACCTCCCAAAACGCTGCTTAGTACTGCTCTAGGGATCATGAGGACATTCTCATGTCTGGCCTGTCTGTTATCAACCCCCGAAACTCATCTCAACCGCTGAGCTTTCCTATTTCCAACGAATGGCGGTTGTCAAAAAACGTGATAAGCCCAGTCATTGGCAAATGTTCATTAAAAGGGAGAAACACGATGAAATGGGCCGTATTCCGAAACAAGGGGATTGGGCCAAGTGTTGTGCTCAGCAGAGAAACCCACTCAGTGATCAGTACCATAGGTTTGACCATGCGCGCAGTATTGCGCGTCAGCCAAACTGGTAAATATACAATTCGACAATGAATCTTATCCGCTACCATCGGCACCGACCCCTCCAAGCGCTTCCTCAAACTCTTTCTTCCACCACCCTGACGCCAGCATGGTAGCTGCAGATGCCAAAATAATGGAGCTGAATACGACGATATAATGGAGCTGAATAGGACGATGCCCTCAATTATCGGACAACCTTCCACGACGCTAATGCTTCAAAGCGGGAGCCTACAGTTTTGATGACGAAGTGAGGTTTGGGTTACCTGCGAACTCAGATTGAGGGAGCTGCGGGTCGTGAAACTGCTGGATGAAGAAGCTGCTTCCTTGGTCAATGCGTGCGCAAAGCAGCTACGAGATCTGAAGCGAATTGTTTCTGCACAGTCCGTCTTCAACGTGACAGTGCAGCTACTCCGTCCAAAAAGTTCGAGCCGTACCTCATGCAATAGAGCTGGATGGCTCTCCCCTTGCACTGGTGTAGCCCAGACATTGCTCCTTCTAACTGCGAGTTGCCTCCCGTACTCAACCGTTATATGGACGAGAAAACCTCCACGACCCGAGCCCAAGTCAAAATTGAGATGATGTCCAACTTTGCGTCGCGCCTCCCTGCATTGTGAAGCGATGGCATCCATGAGGTGCTCAAAAACTGGCAAGAACCCCAGTAACATTGCTGTATAATTTTGATCTTACACGCCTCTCTATAAAAAGAAAGCGCAACTCGAAAAAATGTGACAGAACTTATAGAGGAACATCTTGGGTATCTTCCGCCCGTGGTACTCGTATCCACGTCCTCTAGGCTGCGAAAATTTTGCTGATATGTAACTCGGTCGAAGTGTCTTTTTTTATTGGGCATCCCCCGTACAATCGGGGTGCGGTGATCGCACAACACTGCAGGGAAGAGAAGGGGAGGGGCTAGTGATTTCTTCACTTTATACGTTTTTACCACACTTAGAGGCAGTTGGCACGATAATTTGGTACTCGGCCCAAAATGCCAGCAGGGCGCTATTTAGCTGGAAAATATCGAAAAAACGAAGTGAAACGGTCAAAAACCTGCGAAGAAAAGCCTTCCGTTCTCAATGACTGAAAAGCAATTTTCGGACGAGTTTCCCGTAGGCATCTTGCCAATAACCGCTACGGTAGATACGGCTGCACGTATGTACTCATATATCCATGCAGCACCGCAGCCGCTTCATACCAATCCCTTCGCTTCATATTTTACTTAGCAAATGAAGCAATACGAGCATCAGGTACAGTCGTCCATTTGTGGGCGGGCGGCGGATCGGTATGCTGTGGCTTTGTAGGGTTTTATCAAGGTACCTCCTTCGGAAAAGGTGCTACGCAGCGTCTGCTCACAGGGTACAGCATCGTGATATGTGAAATAGTGGTGCCAGTACGACCATCCCTCTCGAGGGAGGGTCTTGGTACGACTCCCCCCCCCACCTAAATAAGGGTTTCGGTACGATTTCAGTGCCCAGCACCTACCTACCAATTTCCCATATTTTCCAGTCCAGGTTTTCACCAAAAATTTTCCGTCGAGCTGGGGGGGGATCTCTCGAAGGCACCCCTTTCTCCCAACGACCAAATACGACCCCCCCCATGTGTATCACCACAACGATGCTGTACCCTGTCGCTCAGGGTCGCGGAATTCCGTCGTGTCAGGCGTATTAATCCTACTCGTCTTAGAGATTTATCGTGACAACTGCCGATAAAATCAATTATTTGTGGTAACAATTTAGCTGTTTTCTGACTTTTGTTGAGAGCGCCATGATTTCATAGCGACCCTTTTTTGGATTTTTTGCCTTTATTGAAGGTCATCATAGTCTTCAATATCAGAAAACGTTTCCTCGTCGACCATAACGTCAGCGCCACCCTGAATGTCGTACAGCATCGCATCAACGTCTCCGTCCTGCAATGTGCGAATGTGAAGCACATTTTAGGAACGAATAGTGTCTGTACGGTGGAGCTGTTCACGTACCTGTCCTAGCTTTTTGAACTCGAACAGCTGCATGAGTACGTGCTCCAGAATCCTCTTTGGGTTACGCTCGTTTATTGGTAGACTTGAATTTACACCTAGAACTTCTCCAGCCTCGTGTATATAGAATTCCAGGTCAGTTTCTTCGCCTGCAAAGTACCATCTATGAATTCTCAACAAGACGAGAAATAGTAAAAAAGGAATTTTTTGTTATCGGCTTTGAAAGTTTTGGTGCACATTTTCGGGTGTTTCGTATGTCTGCCTATTGTTATAGTTTAGGTTTTCCTCCAGTGTTACGGAGCTTAAAGGAACAAGTTGCGCACGATAAATTGCAGGTGTAGAATTTGTGCAAATTGCTTTAACAGAATTCCCGTGACCTCGGACAGGCCGCGTGAACCTTTTCCAAGGAGGGTACCTCTATAACGCCCTATTGAGCAACAACTTTACGTCCCAAACGCCTTCCTTGCCCGCCCGCCCACAAACGGACGACCGTTTCTGACGCTCGTATTCATTCATTTGCTGAGCAAATTATGAAGCAAAGGGATTGGTATGAAGCGGCGGTGATGCTGCATGCATATATGGGTACAAATATGCAGCCCTATCTTCGGTAGCGGTGATTGGCAAGATGCGTACGGGAAACTCGTCCGAAATCGATTTACAAGTCACTGAGAACGAAGGCTTTTTCTTCGCCTGGATTTTGACCGTTTCACTCCGTTCTTTCGCCATTTCCCCACTATATAGCTCCCTACTAGCATTTTGGGGCGAAGTAGCGTAAACCATCCGTGCAACTCCCTTTAAGGATGCCATCCCGAAAGAAGGACGTCAGTTCGGTTTAGACTTGGGCTTGGTCGTGAAACGCGTCCACGTAACGAGGTGGTTCCGAAAATGAGGTGGCCCGAAGAAGCAAACTTCGGGCTATAGAGGGGCTCAGAAAGGGCCGTGAAGCTACTGTTACTGCACAGATTTGGCTTTCCCTTTTTCGCAAGGTGGGCCAGGCGCTGGAATCAGACTGTATGAAATGTGTTTAGAATGCCCTTTGTTGTTTCGAGCATGATCCACATACATTTTCCCCACTGTGTTGTTGGTTGCTCGCATGTTGCCGGAGAGGTGGAGAAAGATGCCGAGAGAGCAGGTTCTGGCATTCAGTGATGGGGCAGGTGTCCTTATTGGGAAGGAGAAGATGTAGGCAGCAAGTAAAGAATCAGTAACTGTAGCGGAAGAAGTGCCTTGGCTTCTAAGTATTATGACAAAACTTCAAAGCCAACCTAATAATCTTCAATTATTCGTTCGTTGACCTCAAAGAAAACATAAACATTACATTTATTCGTCAGCTGGGCGAGCCGAACTTCTTGGCTGCTGAACATCTCATCCAGGTCGAAGAGCTCCAGCTTTGGAGGAGGCAGTTCTCGGAAGTTCGGTGGAAATACCTGTATCACATAACAACGTTTTGGGTATAGAATTCGATTACTTACACAAAAAAGCGGGCACTATTTACCCTTTACTGCCCCAGCCATCCGAAATCAGGCCAGTTCCTGACCGAATTTTTTCTCCGTGGCAGAATTTGCTGAAAACTTGGCTCAGGAGGTAGTTCGACCACTGAACGCGAATGCGCATCCGCCTTAACCCGGAACCTCCCTGGCGCCAAAATACTCGAAATCACCAAATTCGCTGAAAACTTGCTCCCAGGGGTAGTTTGACCCCCTGAACACGAATATCACATCCGCTCAACCCGAAACCTCCTGGCGCCCGCACCACGGGCACCGGCGCCAAAATACCCCAAATCATTGGCGCCTGTGGCGCGGGCGCCAGGAAGTTTCGGGCTGAGCGAATGTGATATTCGTATTCTGGAGGTCAAACTACCCCAGGAGACAACATTTGAGCAAAATCTGCCCACGGAGAAAAAAGTCGGTCAGGAACTGGCCTGATTTCGGATGACTGGGGCAGTAAAGGGTAAATAGTGCCCAACCTTATGCGAGAGTTTGCTTATCACAGCCCTACGATCAAATAGGTGGAGAAAGAAAATCTTTAGAGAGTCTTCCTAATTGGTGCGCCCCCGCAACCTGAACCTAAGGTGATAGAGAGATTGAAGGATCAATGGCCTTGCAAATCCGCCCGTAGGATCAGCGTGAGCTGTGGTACAACAAAGTGAGCAGCAGTGAGCACTGTTCCATATAGAAAGGTTGTAGCTGAATGAAGTATGCAAGCTTTCAGACTCACCGCTGGCTGCAATGGAGGGAGTGGAACTTCAAACTGGGGCACGATAAGAGTCAACGGCTCCACTTTTACTTGTAGCTGGTCGTATGCCCTAAATATTCAAACTTCTGTAGCAAACGTTAACCGCGGTTGTGGAATCAACATCCCAGGGGCGCTGCTTGGTCGCTTAGTACAGGAGGTTGTCTTACCTGTGAAGAACTTTTATTCGTCGATTTTTTCCATTAGGTACCTCCCTTCAGCTGGCGTAAACTGAGGCACAAGATTACTATTTAAAGGCAGCGCCCATGTTCATTTGATGTTTCCGCGTCCTCTCTGGATATCATAGCCTCCCGAATCCTATGTGAGGATGCAGCATGTCCTCATCTCAAAATTATGCGAGAGGATAGCGCCGTTCGCTAGTGAGAGGCCTACAGCCCCGCCACCTGGCAAGAACATAGGGTTCAATGTGGATACATTTTCCATGATTTTTTTCTGCTTTTTTCTGGGCACTATTGGATCATGCATTATATGAGCTCCATAACTCATTATTTTTGAAGCGGGCTCAGCCTTCAACGGCCAAGCCGAAGCAGTTATGGCAGCCAGGTGGGCGCGGGCGGCTTCCCCTTCACAAGCGGGTGGCGCCATCTCTCATTATTTTTGAGCCTGGGCGAATTAAAGTATATCCTCCACCTCTAACAACAAGGCTACGATAATCTAATGGGGCGTAGACAGCAAATTGAACGCGGGCGCTGCCTCTTAAGCAAAGTGGGGTCAGAAAAACGGCGTCATTTTCTTTCAACTTTCGCGCGGACGGAACTTCGAATACGTTCGAGTTTGGGAGTCGTACAGAAGAGGGTCATGATTTTGTTCGTCTGTGAACCACAATGACTTTACATTACCTTTTCTGAACGGAGCAGGACAGTAGTACTATCAAGCCTTCACGATAAGATGCTAGACGCCCATCGTAGGGCTCAACAGCTCAGCGAGTAGCCTGCCCTCCCGCAGAGCGACTAACAAGGTTTTTTCTCGTAAGAGGAATTGGTGCTAACCATTTGAAAAAGTAGCTGAACTCGCCTCAGAACTTTTGGCCAAACGTTCAAATCGAAGGATGTGATGCTCTGGTCAAAGCACTTCATGAAATCTGAAGTGACAGACATGTCGAAGTCGGCTTCTTGCATACAGACCTTAAAAACACCTTTGGAAACAGTAGCTTCGATGACTTGATTCTTATGGATCTTGGAATTCATGTCACTAGCTAGCTGAAATTGTGATACACCTGCATATGCAACGTCGAAAGCGAGTTGAGTATCGAAAAAAGATGTTTGGCTACGACTTTCACATTCACTCCAGCCTGTGCTGATTCACGTGGGCAGCCGGGTTATATCAGGTAGAGGCATCTTAGCCGGCTGAAGCGGGTCTTTGTAGAAGGCTAAGCACGGCTCTTGAGGTGGTTTGTCAGGTGGTATTCTTCTGACATTCTTCAGTTGCTTTCTTGAGGCGTGCTCCTTTCGAACATAGCACGTCATTATAAGCTGATTTTCTTCATTCCCTTACATTCGCCCTTGAAGTTATTCCTTTATTTGGTTAGTTCTATGTACTTCCTAGTGCCTCAATATATCATATCCATAAATTTATCCTATAATACACGGATGCCTCTTGAAGACAATAATATAGTCCTCATCATTGCGGACCGGTGGGGCGTGTCAGTGCGGCTCCGTCTTCCGCGGTGATGAAGTCGTTCTGCACCAGTTGTTGAAGCGGGCAAGTGACATTACTGTATTATATCCTTCGTATTACTCGTTTTCTACCACTTTTTGTCGCATACGCGTTTCAACAAAAAGGCTGAGAACGGCTTCAACAGTGTGCGCACTCCTACTGGCGGACACGCCCCAACCGGTCCGCAATGATTGAGGTTACTGATAAATAAGCTACAAGTGATTTTGAACGAACATACATACCTTAAGTTCTTCCGAAAGACGAACGTGATCCGGAATCTGTACGTAATCTGAGAGTTCTGGCTCTGTAGCATCGATTTTGTTCAGCTCGTATCCCTCGATGAGGTATTCCATGATGGCATCCTGGAAACGAGACTAGCATTTGATCACAGTTCCCATCAATTTACGAATTCTCATCAACTTGTCAAGGGCGCGTGGGAATCAGATATCCTACTATATATAATCCGCTATGTGTGTTCTTGTGTGTGTGTGTGTGTGTGTGCTTGTGTGTGTCACGAAATTCATAGCGAGCGTCGCAGAAAAGATAGGACGACAGTTCCAAGAAGTGATATACATGGCAGGACGGGAACATTTTTGGTGGGTGTCAGGAGGTGATTAACTCTTGATAAGAGTACGTAGGGGCCGCTAGAAGCCGGATGAGCGGTGACTGACATCCGCTAGCCGCAAGGGTTGCAGCAGGTGTTGGGACCATGATTTTAAGGAGTGATACTACATTGCCAGGACGTGTGGTTTTGTCATGCGCGGTGACAGGACCCCGGTGATGACACTTGATAAGATTCGATAAGGGGCCTTAAAAGGGGAGGGTGACCGAATTCGTGGCAAGTTGCAGCAACGGCGGGACCATGATTTCAAGTACTGATATGCCGTAGGGTGGGGCTGGCAGAAGCTGATAACAGTTGATAAGATCCGATAAGGGGCCTCGGAAGAGGAGGGTCATCAAATTCGTGGCGCAGGTTACAGCAACAGTGGGAACTCAGATCCGTGAGGTGATATAGGGTGTGGGACGGGAACATTATTGGCGGCGTCGACCAGAAGTGATAACAGCTGATAAAGATACGGTCAAGCGGCTCGGAAGGGCAGCGGTTCAATCAGATTTCGCTGACGCAGCTTATACAGCACCAGTGGGACCTCTGATCGAGACCCGCGCGCGATACAGCGTTATATTCGATGTGATAGGGACGGAACATTATTGGAAGGTACGGAAGTGATAAGAGCTAAAATTAACAAGGTAGCATGGGAAAATCCGCTTCACCGCTCACAACAACAATGCGATCGATATGACTCAAGTATAACGATCTCAGTGATTCCAACAGAACTCATTCCTCACTGCTTATTAGTAACGACATCGTGTACGACCGCTAAGCCAGCTCTATTCCAAATGCATGTGGTTTGTTTACAGAGATGTTATGAACAGCAGCAACTGACTTTATCACTCTTACCACAATTATCTTCCATCAACAACTTTCAGTGAGGGCCATTTAAAGGGTTCCACCAGCTGGAATGCGGTAGTGCATTCCAAAGCAAGACGTTTTAGAAGACAGATTGCATAAATTATAGGCTGCTTCAGTGGCTGTCCAAACAGGCTGCACTATTTCCGTGTAGGTTATGAACGTACCAGTCGGATCGCTGGCTAAGGCCGGCTTTCCTCCTTCTGTGATGCGGGGGGGGGGCGCTGCTGCTGCTTCTGCGCCTTGACGGAACAAGCGCTGCTTTTCAGTTCTTGGCTGATGCAGAAGATTCCTTTTTGAACAGTGAAAGCGTGTGGTGGTCAACGATCCTTAACTTAACACGCGGCAAATCCGCATGGTCTGGCGAAGCCGGGCCATGTCACAGAAGGAGGAGCGCCCGGCGACAGCCGGGCGATCCGACTGGTCCTATCCTCCTTGTTCTATAGCGGGAATCGCATGCGTTCAATTCACTATTCCCGAAAAACACTAGTGATTCTGCAACAAGAACTAAATATAAGATAAAGGACTTGGCACAGTGACGGGTACGAGATGGTGAATAGACGCAAACTGTTCAAGCTTTAGAGTAGTTTACATTTCCATTTTTCACTATTACTGGTATACGAACTACCTTCACTCACAGGACAACTCATTAGGAGGCTTTCAGGTGAACAATTCATACCTATCTTCAATCGCTTAATCCTTTATTTCGTCGTCCATGCACTGAATATCATCCAGCGTATTAATTGAGAATAGCCGCAGTAGGTCAGGTTTGCGTGTCGGGCCCAGGCGTGTGTCAAAGGGGGCGTGGCATGGGCTCTCTTTCGACACTTACCATGGTGATAGCTCAAGTGATCGACCCTTGAGAAAGAAAGAATCGAGCAGGCGTTGAAAAAACGCGGTGAGCTCCTTCCATCTCTCTTCGAACAGCTCCTCTGAACTGAATTGCGCGATTCATCTGTCTATGCGCTAATAAATGCGAAACAAGATACACTGTCGCTAAAATGCTTGTGATATATTCCGTTTATTTCCGACAACCGCTCTTTAGAGTTCTACCTCGCGTATCCTGAAATTGTCGGAACGTGCGGCAAGGCGTTGACAGAATGCTAAGTCCCGGAGCCATGTAACACAATCTCTTATGGTTATAGGTAGTCCGACGAGTGTGTCCAACACTTTCTGGGGGCAATAGTATCGTCACTATACCTCGTGCATGGCTCACCTGCAAAAATGCCGTAAGTAGAAAGTCAGGGTGTGATACGCTAATCGCGAGTGGCCGTCGAGTGCGTCAAAAGCGAAGTTATAGTCTGCGGGTTTTCGGATAGATCACGTGTAGGTTATAACAAGGAGTGGCATAATTCGTGTCAAATTGATCATTGCATGTAATGTAGACTGTCTTGTGCTTATATACATGCTCAGGTGCTTCTGATCGTGCGCTCTCGAGATCTGCTGGAGCATCCATAGTTCTCTCCGCGCCCACGTTGTCACCCCTGCCGCAGTATTGCGATACGCTTGCAAACATATGAGCTACAGTGTGTACTCTCTCTTCTCTTGTCGTTTCTCCTCATCACTCGCGGCGAACGCCCTTTACCAGTATGTTGGCAATCGTACTCTGATGGGACAGATCGGTCGAACAAGTACAAACTACATAATAGTTTTACCTGTTCTCCTCTTGTCGATGTACTTCATCGCAAGTCACCAGCAACATCCTCGGTGAACAGAACCGCACTCCGCGCAAAGTTTCCACTTCGCTCTCACCTCTGCGCAAGCAGTACTTAACATCAAGCTCAGACGTCATCACGAATCGTTTTTATTAACATGGAGCCACGTAAGAACAGAATCTTGACGACTTCTGCTTTCGTGGAAGGCACCACAGGTCTTCCTATTGGAAACGCAACTGCACTGCGGTTGGAGGCACTGGAGAGTGGGAGGACGGGCGACCGAAAAGTCGATTGCTCCAACACGGATAGACCAAAAGACGATCGTCCTCAAAAGTGTCCATAGGGAATTTCTCATTGGAACTAAACCATCAAACTGCAAATAAAGCAAAAACGATTCTTACTCGGGAGTTGCTCTGCTTCGATCATTTCGACATCTTTTTGGCAGCTACAGCTATCACTTCCTGTTGAGAACGACCATCTGACATCGAAGGGGCTTTCTTTAGCGCGTCGAAATGATTTGCTAGAACAATTACTCCGATGTACAGCATCCTATAACAGCACTGACAGCTCATCTCACATTTTTGTTTGATAATATTGATCCAATTTATTTGAACAACCCATCCCACTTGGATGCGCTGCCCGAAACCGCTTCGAGCGCGAACCATTCTTAATTTTCCGCGTCTGCCAATTCCAGTCATTGAAGCTGGAGACTTATGACGTCGGAACCGGTAATTAGGTCAGCGCGACCTCGTCACCCGGTTCTTGCCAGACAAAACAAGGCTGTAAGGAAGGGCGCTATAGCGCCAATATGGTTCCAAGTGGACGAATCTTTTTTCCCGGCCCTCCTTCCAAGACCCGCCTTTCAGTGAAGGAAACTAGCACTTGCAGGAATGAGCGAAAGCATGAAACATGAAAGCGCCATGTCGGCGATTGCACGCCAGCGCCATTTCGAAACCTTGTTGACAACGCCTTTTCCTTTGTTATTCTCGGCCCGCAAATGGAATTGGATGGGTTTTTATCTAAGGCAGGCATGCTACGGGTCTGTTTATCCTTTTCTGCTACATTTTTTCTCCTGACAAGTGATCTTAGAACCTTGTCGTTATATGCGAACCCTTACCACTCTCTGCTGATCCGGAGGCCTCTGCCTTCAAAAGGAACATATCGGGCACGTCTTACATTTGGTCCGCCAGTGGAACGGGAGTGAGTGTCGCATTTGCCTATCCGAAAAAAAAGGCTTTCTTGGTTGTTGGCTCTCGCTGCCGGTCCCCGCTTCCTCCTCTCTCTCCTCTACCTCTCGCACCGCACTCCGACCTGGTTTTTCTGTTGAGGGCAGTTTTTTGGTGAAAATTCCACGGAAGAGTTGGTGAGGGAGCCGGAGGGGACTTACGAGCTCGCTAGGTAGCGTTGCGCGATGTTGGGAGAGGCGTGTCCGGTAGCAGAGCCAGATACATTGCTTGAGGGCGAGGGACTGTTTTGAATACTTTCGGCTCATACGCGGATCTGCCTTATACTTTAGCGAGAGAATTCTAGAGTTACCAAGACGCTAGGATTCGCTGATGTGCCTCCAAACCTTATAAACATCCCTAAACTACCATTCGAAGTTCCACGGGACGGTGGAACCCTTCAACGGTAAGCGGTGGAAATAACTTGATAGTAGCTCAGGGTCTCAAAGGAAGCAAGCCGAGTAGGTAGGAAGCGAAACATACCCAAGGATCTCTTGAAAATCCATCAAAAATGTTCGAATTGTGAACATGGTACCCTAATGATTCCTCAACGGGAGGGTGGAGACCTAACTGAATTATGCTAATGCCAGTGGCGCCGTGCACTTGAACATGGAACAGGTCTTCGTCCTGACAACTGTTCAACTTGTTCAATTTAATCGCTTTATGATCGCAGCTTCCTCTCAAGAAGCTGCGCAGCTATCATATCTACTCTACTGCAGCATCTGCAAATGCATGCATGTGCGAACTTTGGAGGGAAAAAAAGAGATGGAGGTAGTTCTCTTGTGGTAAATTATTGAGCTTTGATGATTTTCTTGTTTTTCATCAACCATTTTTTGGTAGAATAAAGCTAATGAGACAATGACATCCGACAACAACAAACTGAAAACGCACCACTATTTCCAACAATGCCGAATTCCTCGAGAAGAAAGTTGATGTTAGTATCGGTTTGTTGTTCCCCTCCTTCTGACAGCAGCACCAGCACAGCCCCTCCATTCGTAATAAAGCGTCCGATTGCCTCCATCTGAAATTTCATATACAGCTGAAGAAACGCAGAAGGCCCTTTCTGAAGAAAAGCCTACTGCTGCAATTCATTTGAAGCCCGTTCAGGGGACCTACAAAAAAAATGTTGCCCAAGACAAAAAACGAAAACAGTACAAGTAGATACTCCATGAGTACCGCTTCGGTTTTTTACCAAGTGAGCAAATTGGTGTTGCTGCCAATTTCGGCGAATGACAAAACATTGTAGCGTTTGCCGTCGGAGAGTACCCTCGACTGACCAGAACAGTTGGAATCGAACGGCTTTATGTTGGGCGAATGGGGCGATTGAACCCAGGTCTCAGTATTGTTTGTGTCCTAGCACTGCCCTACAATACAGCTACTCGGGGTCTGGCACTATGACGAGCAACGGTGGCCTTCTTGTAGTTCAGTGGTCTCGCTCACATTTGTCGATCTGATTGCCGAGGAACAGGCAATATACACCGACAGCGACGATTTTATTCTCTGTATAGAGCCGCCTGAAAGCCACAGTGTGGGAATCCTTCGCTATGATGATCATCCACTTGCGCCCACGTAACTCTTCATGGTAGAACTCGGGCGGCTTCTCATCTGCATTCATACAAAATTGACGATTGTGAGTTTTGGCTCGAGGTCCAAGACCACCCATATTTCATCTAGGGCCGGGGTGCGTTTTCACAGTCGTGAATGACATCTCATGCTGAGAACATTACTGCTAGAGGTATAGAATCGGTACTGCGTTCGTGCTTCTATAAGAAAATTGGGTACCCATGTGCGCACACCCCCTTGACCATCCTCAGTTTATCGGACATAACTCGGGCAGCAGTTGCAGCTGGGATGTCAGACTCGCGGGGAAGCTCGACAAAGGTCCAGGCTCTGGGATCAGACATTCAGCGCTTGACTTCATCCACCCTTTTTTCTTGTGCAGGATGAACATTATGGGACCATCCACGACAACAAATTTTTTCCTTTCTTCCTTCTTCGGGCTCCTGAACCAAACCTTCCACCTTGTATTTCGAGAACACCATTACACACAACTACTGGTCCGGCGCAGGTCAAATTTGAGCAGCGCACTTTCCTTTTATGACGCCTGATTTGAAAATTCGGTGCTGATTTTTGCTACTCCGGCTTATTTCAATTTTTCGAGAACTTTCTGTGGGTAAGGTTCGCCAACTTTACACAGCTTAAGGTACTAGCCTCCAAATGGCATAGTAGCCCACTGCCCTATCCTCTTTGCTTTTCTGCCATCCTCTATATGTCTCGGTACTTTTGAATGGGATGACCTAATAGGATGCTATTCTGAGGCCGTGCATCCAACATTCGCGAAGAGCCGTTAAGGCATTTGAATACTCTGTTTGTATAACAGCCTGTAACAATTTTGTAGAGGTCGGCTAATTTTAAGTGCGTTCACTTGCTGTTACAACAGAAGGATGGAACCTAATAGTTCTAATAGACGGTAAGCAAGAAAAATGGCTAGTTTCCTGGTGACCATGCCTTTATCTCTGACAACGGCTGGTAATAATGGGACTTTTGGAAATTTCTAGGTCACTGTTCGACCTTGGAGGTAGGGGCATTGTACTCTATCCCATCAAGGGAACAGAGACCTGTCAACTCCTGCAGAGAAATGAAATGATACTCGTCTTGTACCGATCTATGCAAAGCTTGGTTCACTACGTAACTTTACAAGGGTTTGCAAGTTGCAGTACTTTAAAAATCCGGAGAAACTGGAACTAGAACTAGCAAAATACACCCTTTGGGTCGGACAGCGCCGTCTTCAGACCGCATGCGTCCTACACCTATGCAGGCGTGGTCCCTGTGAAGGTTCGGGTGTGGAACGTTGCGTGGATTGGAACACAGCTCGCAAGACGGTCTTTCAAACCTAAGATACCATTCTGAGCACGCTACAGTCGGTGGGAGAAGCTGCCTTGGTTTCGTTCCAATATACGGCTCGTCACAAGCCCTATCGTTTTCAGAAATCATGACTGTATCTAACACACGACGATAGGACGTCTACCTTCTTCAACTTGAGAAATCGGTAAAATTACCTCAGAAACGTTGAATTTAGCCCTGGGATGTGGAAGAATGAACACACGAACTCCTTCGAACAAGCCATCTGTGATCTCGTCAGGGTTCCTGCAATGATTAGTGTCTTAATTTTCGCAAAAATGAACACTCAGGGATGTAGACGGGGCAGTCAGCATGAGAATATACTCTAGTTCGCTGCGGACGATACGAATGGACCTGCCAGGCAGCATGAGTGTGCCACGGCGCCAAATCCGTTCTCTGGCAGTTGTTGAAGCGGGCGTGCGACAAAAGTGGTAGAAAACGAGTGATACGAACGATATGATACAGTCTTGTCACTTGCTCGCTTCAACAACTGGTGGAGGACGGGTTTGGAGCCGCGCGGAATTCCTGACGCCTCCACACCCCTTAGTCAGCATCGAACTAGGGTATAGATCAGAACAGAAATAGGTGGGCAAACTGACGCCTCCACAGTCCACGCATTTTTCAGTCGTCGATGAACACCTCGTAAACCGGAATGAATGTTGAATAGCTCCTTCTTCGACTGATTGATAACGATTTTGTGTCCTTGTCGCTGCCGTGTGCCATTGGTGATCTGAAAGCAAAAGTTGAATAAGATCCAGTCTTACAGTTTGCTTGCCAGGCTGCGCGAAGGTGGAATTGTTTGATAGAGTGTAGCGCATTCGAGAAATGCTTTATTTGTGACTTGCCATGGAGAACATATCCAGAAGATGATGATCAGGCTACAGTCCTTCTAAAAACGTCAGCTATCCTTGGGAACCATGCAGATGATTTTTTCCAGGAGTTTTTACTAGCCTTCATTGTTAAATTGTTCTACGGCTCAACAGAGCAAGGGAAATTGTTAGAATGGAAATGAAATTCTCAGAAGACAAACTGTACACTCACCTACGTAGATTGTGATCTATGTGCGAGATGAATCAGCTGCAGTAGCGCGCAACTTTCTTTGCCCGCTCAAAAGCACACGGCAACGAGCCTGAAGGTTAGTGGTGCCATACTCCGCCAGCGGTGCTGCACGGGCTGCCACAAGCCTAACTGTAGCCAGACATGCTATTCGTCTGCGCCTTCTACCTCCGATTGCTCTCCACGCTCAGAGCGTGCTACACTTCTTGGTATCGACGCAGGATTTCTTGGTATTGACGCAGGTGCTGCACACTGAGGATAGGCTGGCGAAGCATCAACACAGCACCGGGTATGCCCCAACCCAACCCTATTTTCTGGCCT